ATAACTCTGTATGTGTATTATTTGTAGTACACTGCACATTTTCCTGTGATTTAGTTCACAAATAAAGGGAGTAAAGATAACCAGTAGAGGGGAAAAGAGGTAAAGCATTAAAAATATCTATATCGCTATATTATAAATTAATTAAACATATAATATAACTATATAAATAAGGATTGTTTTTTAAATCAATTGCTCATCTCCATTTTTCAGGCAGTGTGCATTTTGTATTTGTCAATCAGACAGCTTCTAGAGACACTTGCTAGTGAAGACTTAATGTATTCATGTTTGGTGTCATCACTGGTTTACATTGAGTATGTGAATAGACAATATCATCCACTTGATCCCACTAATTAATTGGGAGTCCATTTCTCCAATTTATTTTTAGCTACCAACAACATCATTCATGGTGTGGAAGATTTGGCTGGAGAATGGTGAGGTATCCAGGTGGCTTGCTCTAAAGCAGGGGTTCTCAACGTTAGTCCTCAGGACCCCCTACCAGTCCAGGGTTTAGGGATTACCTGGGTGTGTCTAAGGTGTTTAGAAAAAGGGAAAAAAAACACCTTAGACTCTAAGGTGTTCTTTTTTTCCTTTTTCTAAACACCTTAGACACACCCAGGTAATCCCTAAACCCTGGACTGGTAGGGGGTCCTGAGGACTAACGTTGAGAACCCCTGCTCTAAAGGGTGTATGCTGGGTGGTGGTTCAATATTCCTCTAGGGGAGGGAATTTGTGCATAGTCAAGTTAGGACTTCTGACGTAACCAACTTGAAATATCCAACCTGAAGAAATGGAAATTCTAATATGCTGCAGATGCTTCAGATTAACAAGCTATATAGAACTACCACATAGGTGTCTGAGGCTATGCCACAGAACCCTGAATTAATAAATTATGGGCAGAATATTTCAAAGAAAATAAATAAAAAGCTAATGCATAAGCAAAATTGAAGGTACTGTGCTGATAATCTTGCAGAATCTGCCTATACCCTTGCTCTTGGTGCTACATAAATGAGAAAGAGGGCCAATATCCGACAAAGGATGTACTGTGTAGAGCTCCTTATATCCAGCCCCAGTCCGCAGCAGGAACCATGACACAATCTTCACTGACCCTTCCACTCCAGGAGTTCAGATCCTGAGAGAATCCTCTGTCATGGAGAGCTTCTTAAAGGTGTGAATGGTGTCCAGGGGTAAAGCACTTCAGGCTTTTCAACTCAAAAAAAGGTATGGTCCAAGGCAGCACCAGGACCTGCGTGGGCAGCAGAAGGGGTAAGTCATAGATTCCTCATGCAGAGACGATGCCAGAAATGCCTACAAAAACTATCAAATGTTTCTTCCAGCCTCCACGTGGATTCCTCCATTGTAATCTGTAATGTGGCAGGCTGGACAGGCTTCCAGCAGAGGAGAAGACCAGAAGGTAAGTAAATGTGAGAGGGCTATATCAGTGAAGACTGGATTCTTCCACACTGGTCCAGATGGGGAGTGGGAGGTCATGGTAGATCCAAGAGGACCACTCCTGATCAGGCACCCACTAGGTCACAACAGCAGGCCTGTCAGAGCTTTGCAGCTACTGCCATTGTGTGATTGTAAACTGTCCCATTCAGAAAGGTTGTGTCTGCTGTAAAGTCTATCCCGCACCCCTCCAAAAGGATATTTGAGTGTATCCTGTTTCCTAGAATTTCATTGCAAGTTGATATCTCATACAATTAAAATGTATGTTTTAATTCTTCTTCTTTATCCCTAGGCATATAATGTATGAATAGTCATCTGCAGTTGAACCAAAAATTCATGTAACTTAACAGTAAAAGTTTTTATAAAGTCTTGTTGCCTAATTTGACCTAATATGACCACATACTGCTGGCTGAATCTGAATCTCATGTCAACCTCCAAATTTCCTCATTAGTGAGAGCAAAAAGGTAAAAGATGCCCTACATAGAATATGAATGGTAAAGAGATATTGTTTTACATTTGTGAATGTGAGCCTACAGACGATTTACACAGGGCTTTGTCTTGATATAGATTATCAGCCAGTTTTGATTGCTTGATATAATATGAAGATCTTACACAATTTTTTATGCACTAAACCTAAAGCTGTTGATTTAATTATATGCTGGAGAACTAATGGAAGACGAAAGGCTATGCCCAACGATGGCAATGGAGGGTAAAATTGCAATAACATGATGAGATTAAAATGTCTCGTGTTATGCAATTAATTTGCATAGATCCTCATGGGCTTAATGTTTGTTATTAAATTACATCAGTGTACTATAATTTGTTAATACACGCACCTTGCAGGTTTCATAGCATGATTGTAATTATTAACAAAGTACAGTCATTGCAATGCTGATGTGTGCCCTTTTAGTCATTGGACCATTTAATCTAATGTTTATTTTGGATCACTACACAAGTGGTCCTGGACACTGGCATGTAAACAACTATTGTACACCAAATCATTTTGCTTGTAAAGTCACCAGCATCCTGAATTCACCATGAGAGCTGTTACCATAGATGACCCAGGAGAAGGGGCACTGCAAGAACCAAGATGATCATGGAACACATACAGGAGACTGAAAACAAAGGGTAAGGGACTAGGGGTGCTGGTAATTATACAGAAAGTGTTCTGGACATAGACATAGCAGATATATGAGGAACAATGAACAACTGTTTATGAAACTGTGAACACAGATAAACTGAAAATCAAATTGCTACATTTAGACTAAAATAACACTGAGTCGGATACATTTTTCCCATCTCCGCCACTATGGTCTACATTTTGCATTTCTGTTACCAATTCACTTTTAATGAATAAAGCCAATACACTTACAGTCAGGTCCATAAATATTGGGACATCGACACAATTCTAATCTTTTTGGCTCTATACACCACCACAATGGATTTGAAATGAAATGAACAGGATGTGCTTTAACTGTAGACTTTCAGCTTTAATTTGAGGGTATTTACATCCAAATCAGGTGAACGGTGTAGGAATTACAACAGTTTGTATATGTGCCTCCCACTTTTTAAGGGACCAAAAGTAATGGGACAGATTAACAGTCATAAATCAAACTTTCACTTTTTAATACATGGTTGCAAATCCTTTGCAGTCATTACAGCCTGAAGTCTGGAATGCATAGACATCACCAGACGCTGGGTTTTATCCCTGGTGATGCTCTGCCAGGCCTCTACTGCAACTGTCTTCAGTTCCTGCTTGTTCTTGGGGCATTTTCCCTTCAGTTTTGTCTTCATCAAGTGAAATGCATGCTCAATCGGATTCAGGTCAGGTGATTGACTTGGCCATTGCATAACATTCCACTTCTTTCCCTTAAAAAACTCTTTGGTTGCTTTTGCAGTATGCTTCGGGTCATTGTCCATCTGCACTGTGAAGCGCCGTCCAATGAGTTCTGAAATATTTGGCTGAATATGAGCAGATAATATTGCCCAAAACACTTCAGAATTCATCCTGCTGCTTTCGTCAGCAGTCACATCATCAATAAATACAAGAGAACTAGTTCCATTGGCAGCCATACAAGCCCACGCCATGACACTACCACCACCATGTTTCACTGATGAGGTGGTATGCTTTGTATCATGAGCAGTTCCTTTCCTTCTCCATACTCTTCTCTTCCCATCACTCTGGTACAAGTTGATCTTGGTCTCATCTGTCCATAGGATGTTGTTCCAGAACTGTGAAGGCTTTTTTAGATGCTGTTTGGCAAACTCTAATCTGGCCTTCCTGTTTTTGAGGCTCACCAATGGTTTACATCTTGTGGTGAACTGTCTGTATTCACTCTGGCGACGTCTTCTCATGATTGTTGACTTTAACACACATACACCTACCTCCTGGAGAGTGTTCTTGATCTGGCCAACTGTTGTGAAGGGTGTTTTCTTCACCAGGGAAAGAATTCTTCTGTCATCCACCACAGTTGTTTTCCGTGGTCTTCCGGGTCTTTTGGTGTTGCTGAGCTCACCGGTGCGTTCTTTCTTTTTAAGGATGTTCCAAACAGTTGATTTGGCCACACCTAATGTTTTTGCTATCTCTCTGATGGGTTTGTTTTGTTTTTCCATCCTAATGATGGCTTGCTTCACTGATAGTGACAGCTCTTTGGATCTCATATTGAGAGTTGACAGCAACAGATTCCAAATGCAGATAGCACACTTGAAATGAACTCTGGACCTTTTAGCTGCTCCTTGTAAATGGGATAATGAGGGAATAACACACACCTGGCCATGGAACAGCTGAGCAGCCAATTGTCCCATTACTTTTGGTCCCTCAAAAAGTGGGAGGCACATATACAAACTGTTGTAATTCCTACACCGTTCACCTGATGTGGATGTAAATACCCTCAAATTAAAGCTGAACGTCTGCAGTTAAAGCACATCTTGTTCATTTCATTTCAAATCCATTGTGGTGGTGTATAGAGCCAAAAAGATTACAATTGTGTCGATGTCCCAATATTTCTGGACTTGACTGTATATCGGCATACAGAGATTGAGAACCATCAAAGATAGTTTAAAGCCAGGTACATGGGAACTTCAAAGAAGTAGCATAAAGTATCTAAAGTGGAGTTGAAGATGAAGCATATTTAGTAACATGTAGCAGGAGCACTGAGATGTTGAGCAAGGTCATGACTGTGGACAAGATCCTCGTGGAGAAGTTTTTTTGTTTTGTTTTTTTGGATTCTGCTAAGCACACAGTATACTTTTTTTTTTTTTTTTACAAGATCATGTGAAATAACAGTTAAGATAAAGGAAGCCACCTTTATATCTATGACATGTATGTTTCAATACAGAATTGGAAGTCACATGTGTAGCATGTAAAGAATGCTAGTACTCTGTATGGTGTTGTTTTTGTTTTTAAACTAAATGGTTATAACAAAAATGTTCTGCTCAGGATAGTGTGTAGCTGTCCTATATAATAATGCAGTACACTGATGGGATTTCTATAGAAATGGCTCTACATCATCTTATAAGACGCTAGCAAGTTTTTAAAGGGGCACTCCAGGTCAATAAAGTACTTTAGCTTGCTGAAAGTGCTTTGTGTGTGAAAAATGTGTACCCTCTTTTTTCGTTTTAGAAAAAGTACAGATTTCAATAGAAATTGACGGTTTTATTAATTAACCTGGTTTCACCCCCTCCCTGCTGTCAGGCAGATAACAGGTCCTGTTACTTCCTGGTTTGGTTAACTCAATGGAGCTAAACTCAACAGGCAGGTAGTTGCCTAGAGAACCTGCATCGAAAAGACGTCTCATTGAGCTGTATTGGGAAGTCTGTGATTGGACAGCTACAGAAAATCTAGGTGGGGTTAGAATGGGAGAACTTGCAAAGGCAGCAGACAAGAACTGCTTATGCAAATTGTTTTAGGTAAAGCCCCAATGAAAAATGATTAAGTAAATGCATCCATGTTTTCTTTTGGGGGTATATCTACTAAACAGTGTTTTATGTTTTATTTGTAATTATTTTTTGTGTATTTGGGCACTGAAGAGTCCGTTTAATTTCCATCAAACAGAAACAGAGCTCTTAGTTTTATAGAGTGCTTAAATTTATAGATTTCTTTTATATTAATGATTTTTTTAGAGTTCGGGCTAGAGGAAGTCCTGAAGTACCTGTAACCTTACATCAGCATTAGTACATACATATGCTAGTCTGCACGAGGTTGCTGGAAGTTATACTCCTTGGTAGCTATTATTTCAGCTCATCTTTTTATAGTGATAAGTTGTCAGAGAACCCGGGGAGAGAGCAGCACTGTGTCTCTTCACCTTCTATCCCACAGTATAATTATACAGAGACAGGTGAATTACATTGGTGGCAGCTCCAATCATGCTTTTAACTCCAGCTATTCTCAGGCAGACTGATATATGTATAATTAGTAAGCTGGAGTTGTTGTGGTGCATAATGAACCCCTTAAACATTGTTATAAAATTGATTATACTGGTGCAATGGCAACAATCTTTGGCACCTCTGAATACGTTGTGGGTAGATATATATATATTTATTTATTTAGTTTTTTCAGTGGTATTATTTAGTGGTGGAAATTTTTTGTGCCATCCCCAGTTTTGACTGTAGTATCATAAATACCTCGATATATTTTGCTCCAACAGTCACCACTGGATAGCTAAGAGGTTACTGCTCTAGCTGCAGTATATTTTAGTACGTACTTGTGCCCCAGGGTTTCATTTCCAGTTCGGGATAGGGTTAATTCAGCCTTGTATTCCTCAATAAAAGGTTAATAAAATGTATTTATGATATATGTGCATGTGTATATATATATAAGTGTACCATCCTCTGCACTGTCTGCTTGTTTGTTTTTCTTCTCCCTCTCTCCCCCCTCACTCTGCTCTTCAGAAAGATATTTATGATCCTCTGCAAAAAGAGTGTCTATTTTCTAACAAACCTGTGTCTTATCGACACTACATGTCGCTTTAACCCCTGTATCACAACTCAACTTTGAATTCTATGTGTAGTCTTGCTCAAAAATGCTTCAGACTTGAGAAAGGGAGGTTCTCCCGAAAGCTTGTCATTAAAAAATTCTGTTAGTCCAATAAAAAAGGTATTACAAGATACGAATTTTATCTGTTTTTTACATATACATATATATATACATATACATATATATATATATATATATATATATATATATATATATATATATTACCTTTTATGTCACTTTACCCCACTCCCTCTAGCATGTAAGCTCATTGAGCAGGGCCCTCAAACCCTCTGTTCCTGTAGATCAAACTTGTCTGGTTACAACTATATGTCTGTTCGTCCATCCACTGTAAAGCGATACGGAATTTGTTGGCGCTATATAAATAATAACAATAATACTATATATATATATTTATTTATTTATTCTCAAGTCAGCATCTCTACATGTATGGCAACAATTTCATTCTAGCGTCTGCTGAAGTCCAACACAGGCACACCACATTCTAAATGAGGTACTGGTTATCACCTGAACCAATCTTATCTAATGAAGAAAAGTATTAAAATCACTGCAGTGATCAGCACTATTCCCTTGCAATACGACCAGCCGGATGGCAATACTCGTAGGTAATTGGAATCAAAGGTAGTTGGAATAAACAAAAAGAGCTATTGATTATGCCAAAAGAATTGAAAAGAAAGGCTTTGAGTGAGGAAAAGAAGGTCAAGCAGCAGACACTGGGGACAACAATGCTATAGATCGGCAGAGGGCAAAAACGACTCCTTACTAACCAGGATGAAAGCCAACAGATTTGAATGTCACTAAACAACGGTAGGATTACATCAAGTGACCTCAAAAAGACTGGCAAATGGCAGCTGGGGTGAAGTGCACGGCAAGACCGTTTCAAAACTGACTTCAGCCATGCAAAGCTAGTAAAAAACGTCATCAATGAGAATCAAGAAAGAGCTATGCTGAGGTTTGTATAAGATCATAAGAAATGGACTGTAGAGGATTGGAGTAAGGTTATCTTCTTTAATTAGTCCAATTTACAGCTATGCCCAACATCTGCTTGCCTAATGGTTAGAGATCTGGAAAGTTTTACAAGCCACAGAATAAAACAAAAATAAAAATGTTACTCACACATGTCTAGAAATAGTAAAACCAGAGGACCTGATAATTGTGCATTGGTCTTTTCCAGAGCTGTATATACATATGCATTCACACATTGAATATAAAGAAATAAATACATATATATATAAAGATACATTTATATTTTTAAAATAGATATTTGAGGTCTGACTGACAAATAAAGACAGAATTGACAGGAAATGCGTCAGTAAGAACAAAAAATAAATAAAAATGCATTCCGCTTAACAGAAAATAAGTCATTTGTATTGCTAGCAGAAAAAGAAATAATCTAAAATAATTGTGCATTTCAATCCTACGCACTGCTAAAAGAAGTATTTTTGGAGCTGTGACAATTTCTAATTAGCAAGTCTGACTAGAATCACTATTCAATCTGAAGGAATGGTTGAAACGGAATCAGTTTTCTAACTTGCCTTTCCCACCCTAATGCAATGCCGTTTTTCCTCTGGGCCCAGAAACCATAGCAACAAAAACTGCTGGTCATTTCCCTCGAGCGCCACAATGCCAATCAAACCATTTATCCAGCTGTGCGTCTCAAAAAAGAATTTCAAAGTGTTTCAATTTAAACTTCCTTGGAAAAAAACCCCAGAAAGTGTTAAGAAATATTCATAAGGCGCGTGTGGGGAATGTATAGTTCTAATCAGGTTTTGAATGTTTATTTTTTTGTTTTTGTAACTTGGCAATAAAGTTAGAAAATTAGATTAGCTGGAGGCTAGGACATTTTCTAGAATGTTCTATGGTGATACAGTTATAAACTAAGTATGAGAATGTTCATGTAACTGCCGCTACCTGACAGTTGGAGCTTTCAAGCAAATACTAGGTGCTCAGCAACCGCTGTGAAGTAAGTGTCATTTCATGTCAAGATCACTTAAGACTTAGCCAAAATGAAACTTCCTACTGGCATGTATGATATGAAATTCCGATCTGTCTGACAAGGCCTCAAACAACCTTACACTGGCTACTTGAGAAGGCATTATTCATGCAGCATACCCTGAACTCTCCCCCACCACCCCTGTTAATTGAAAATAAAACCTTGTATCTTGATATAATCTAAGTCAGCTGTATTAAAGAACTAAATGGATCTTCTCCTTGACATAAGTCGAGGTACTTGGCAGGTTTGGTAAAACAAAGTGGCACCCGAATGCCATTTGATTTTTAAACACATCTAACAACATTTCGAAAAAAGAAAATTTTTTAAAAATTCCTGCTTAAATAGGGTTTCTAATATTTTTACTGTCAGACAAGCCAGTATATTTTCAATATTGCTAACTGGGGAAAAAAAGAAATATAGAAAGCAAATAAGTTTTTTCATATAGTGGTCTATGTTAGTAACTATTAAGCGTTGTTAAAAAGCATATATGTATAATTGTCCTCTCTTCTGCTAAACTATCTCTACCACTGTTATCTTTGTAAAAAAAAAGAAAGTCCTCCATGTCAATACACATAACCTTTAGAAAAATAAGTGAATGTCTTACAAGCTGCACTAATTACTGGAAAAACCTTGAATAACTACCTCAAACAAATACAAAGTGCCCTTCAAACTTATGAGAAGGTCCTATCATAGCAAATATGTTAGCAGCATTCCCTGTGCAGACTGTGCTAATCTTACTGATTAAACCTTGTATTAGTGTGGGTTAAATTAGTGGTAGTTATGACATGTACTAATAATTTAATCTATAAATTGTGCTAACAAGTATATACATTCACAGATATTTTTAAGATATGGTTTTTATCCTATATTCCTTCACTTCATTCTTAAGGTTATTCCCTAATGTCCGAATGACCACATACCGAATGTAGGCAAACCATTTGGTTCTGTAAAACGCGACTCAGGCTGTAAAATGGGGACATTATTCCCAATATTTAACAATGTCTGGATTCTGCAGAACAGGCTCCAAGCAAACATGAATCAGATCCACATTTCAGCGTGACCGAACATCTGGAATCCATGTCCGAACATTAAAATATGGCCACAGATTGCTAAAATCATGACCCACATTTTAACAATACGAAGTATTTACCCTTTAGCAGCTTTTGTATGCTTTTAATTGTGAGTTAGATCACTGGCAATGGGTAAATATTACTGAATGTTATGATTCACTTACAAAAAGTAAGTGATTGATAATTCGGAATGTACATTCTACCTGATGTATTTGGTTCCGATCCTAAACGTTTTATGGAATTTGGATGCAAAAAGCACTGAATTTAAACCAGCAACTGGTAAAATGAAGCAGATTCAATTGGGATGACCAAATTGCAACATATTTTTGTAAATATCACCAAATATTGCTCTTTTAAGATAGTGAATAACCTAGTCTTTACAAAACTTCCAAGCATTTGTCTTCATTGCAAAGCATGTGAGGTGCACATGGGCACTGTTTGTGTATACTGTGTACGCATATATGTACTCCCACTACATAGACCTGGCCACCCCAGTTAAGCAAATACAAGTCAGAGAGTAAGGGCATCTGTGCCTAGATAGGGTGTGGGAGGAGATGGCAGACACAGAGTACAAGGACTCTTGTAATTCAGGTGTAGGCCTTGTCTGAGACCACAAGAACTCTTGATGACTCCTCTGGCGTAATTGGCAGACTCAGAAAGGAGATGTGCACTGATGTGGAGAAGGAGACCTGTTAGAGGCATACCTGGAGAGAACCCCTCAGCTGGAGGGCT